TTACAGTACTGAACTACGATCTAAATAAAAGCGGATTTGGACATTTATTTCAAAAAGGATTTAATTGAAAGTCAGCAACAGAGGTCAGGCTTAGATAAGGTGTAGATCATCATATACATTCCACGCTAGAAACTTTATATGGGGGTTGCCTATATATGGAATAATATCATGTTTTATTCTGATTTAGCGTACTCAACACAATGAAGATGTTAAGATATGACCTACATTTTTGTACAGATTTGGTGATAAAACAAAATGAAGAAAACGCCAAGCATTGCTTATTTTCACGAATCGATTTAGAGCGTTTTTGACTTAGATTCGGTTGATTTCGTCCGTCCCTTGCCATGCTGTTGAGACTTCAAATGTACTTTTTCTTTTGAACCTCTTTTCAATCTTTCAGCTGAGGTTCTTTTCAATGTTTCAGCTGAGGCACTTTTAATTTCATTTGAGCGGGTTTTTGAGTGTTCAGCTGAGGGTCGGCTATCTGACCCCTGAATGAAGCAGTATGATTGTAGAGATACAATAAAAATAGAGCAACAATGAGAAGAGGAAACCTTTGCTAGCGGCGCTTCAACATCACCTGGCAAAGTCATCTGAGATGCCTGAAAGTAGCACAATTGAATCGAGTGTAGAAATCTCCTGTTCGGTTATTGTTTAAACTAACTCCTTCTACTTTCTCAATCTGCGTTCCTATGTATGCTATTGAATCCTGATCAGGATCAAACTCTATGCCAGCAAGTGCAATTGAATGTTCGTCTTCAAGTTCATGTTTCTGAAACATTTGAAATTATTTAGGATTTTAGTCTTTAACTTTACATTTGACTCGCTGAAACACACAATTGCTCTATGCTTTATGAAAATAACCAATAGTTATACAGAGGCTATCCGGACAAAAGGACTCAACTCGGAGAGCACCAAGATACAGGTTTGGTTTCCAGCTCCGAAACCGAAAAATGCGGGAGTACGTACAAATTTTTTTTCGCTGAACTATCTTGTATAGATTATGCTTTGTCCATAGTTCGACTCATTTATAGTTTAGGCCTACGGTTAATCTGTGTTAGCATCACAATTATCCCTATTGTAAAGTATGTTCTGGAACACAATTCTCGCATTACTTGAAATTCTACAGCAGCATGAGCTTTCTGTCTTAAGACTGCTCTGTCTGCCCGCTAAGTTTTTGTTACGGAATGTTGATCAGAATCAGTGCTGAATTATTTTTCATTCTTTCATAAAGAAAAAAATTGGCGAAAAAAGTTACATCTTAAAAGCGACTCCGTCTAAATTCTCTAGCAGAAATGTTGAATTACAAAACTTACAACTTCTCCTTTAAAGTCTGCTTTCATCACTAATGGGGACTGCTTTATGTGTGCATAGTCAATGCTAGCTGCCTTCATTTTCTTCGGTTTCTAAATTTTGGGCAGATTTATGGATAAAGGCATCTATAAAGAGGATAGGTCAGACTACAGCTTTTCGAGTACATTCAGAGTGAGCTGATATTTGAAACCTTTTAGTAATGTCGGCAAATGGGAGTTGGAAAAGCTCTTTAAGCACAACCTATTGCTTACAAAAACTTACCAGAGGAAGTAGATTCAAAGCTTTGATTACTGTTTTGTTCATTTTTTT